GGGCATTCCTTGGTGGGCAAGCGTCTCGAGAAGAACAGACCGATCAACCGAGTCGAATGCGCCTCCGAAATCCAGGAATACTAGAATCGTGGGTCGCTTATACGTATGGCGTTGTTCTAGCACCTGACGCAGTCAGGTGAGCAGGTAAAGAAGTTGGCTAGGATTTAATTCAGAGAGAGAGAGAGAGAGAGAGAGTCAATCAACAAATTCTCTTTCGAGGAGCACACGAATTATATTGTTCACTAGTATGAGCAGCAATATCTTACGGACAATATGTATAGCGGAAATATCCTAAGGTTTTCAGAAAATCACCAATCAGTTTTTGAATAAGAAGTAAGATGTTTCCTGATCTGCACCTGTTCCACTGAGTGACACCGTTTTAGCTAGGTAAGGGGCGTTATCGTGTATCTCAAAACAATGACAAATCTCTTGACCGGGTATTGGGTCCAATTCACGGAATCGTCCTTTTCTTTGGAAACTGTGCGAGTTTTTCATGGGCTTTCTTGAACTGAGTTCATCCAGATCCAGTATACGTTGGCCGGCGAATTTTAGTTAACACACTGGTAGTTCATTTTAAGAGGTTCATCAGCAAGAAGCAAAGGAATTACACTTCGTAAGTGTTTCGATGGAACTGAAACTTCATTTTCCACTGAAGCGTTAAAGACGGCTAGGGGTCAGTTATCATGGCTTGCGCCGTGACTAGACCTCGCTGATAACATAGTCGACCTTTCACACGCCTTCAAAACAGTACACTTTACATTACGCATGCGTTGTCTGGAAGGGTCACGGGGTTGAGGCCTTTAAAATTACTGATTCTTAACCATTTTTTCAACTGACTACTCAGGATGCGCGTCAGAGGTAAATTTCTGCCGCACTTTGCTCACAAATGTCGATGCATATATGAAGAGCATCTGACTTGAACCCACTCCTGATATCCATTGTCCACCTCTGCCCCCATATATCAAAAGATTACAAGGCTATCCCTTTAATGATTTTTCGCTGTTTACATCCTCAATACAGTACTTTGTGTTTTCACATTTTGCCGCTCCGATTTTTCACATCAGGCATCAAAAATTGCTGGTGCACCCTCCCAAAATTCCATTTTTACGGCATTATTTATCCGCCTACGCATATCGGCAGTATCAGATTACAAAAGCATTAGAAAGTGTGGATCACACCCAATCCTGGTCCCCGGACTGTGCTCTCCTAGTGGGATAATGAGAATGATTGACTACATAGGACTGGTTTTACCCATGCTTTATTTTTGCACGCCTCGCCCCACAATTACGTGCCCCTCAGAAGCTTACAGTAGGGAACACGTAGTTGGCGCCCAAGAAAAAATTCTCAAAGAGGTCCAGTTCGAACATACCAGGGCATCACTTCCATTCGTCCTTTCCAGAATACTGTACGCTTGTTTAGCTTTGAGGCCTTCTCGTCCATTTACAGGCGGCCACTCTCCCATCCTTATTGGTACTGAAACGCGCCCGACATAGAACATGGTTTCCTGTTTAAAGCTGCACACGTTCGATTCCGGTTAATTTTTAAACTTGTGCCCTCCCATCACCATTCACTGAATCTGAGGAAAGTAACACGTGGGTATACTCATCAGATGCACTTTGCATCAAACCAGATATATCGGTCCCGGAAAACTCTTGCCTTTTTGTTGCACCCTGATGAGATGCGTCCCATCGAGTGGCCAAATCTGGATTAACCGCTCACCTACAGTAGCCAAGGTTGACCTGCATGCAGCATTTCGACCTTAAAGACCAATTTAGCAGGAAATAGTTTTAAGTTTAGAAGGGGGTTCCCGTGCGCGGATCCAGATTTTCGGAATCATCGATAAAACTAGGGTTGCTCTGCTTGACCTTTGGACTAGAACCGCAGTGTAGAGGAACGTGGCCTCGCCAGAAGTCCCTCTGATGAAGCCGTAAGGTAGCTTAAACATACTACTCAGAAACAGTGGAAGCAAAATAGAGAAAATATTAAAGATAATTATGAAACAGATAAGAAGATGACCAGTAAGTCAGTCCAAAATTATGAGCCGCGAGAAATTCAGACTAACGACGTATAGTAAAACAAACGCCATGTGGTTCATTTCAGCTATTTATTGTCTTTCTGAAGAAGTACTACAGATGTGGCAGAGAGCCTTTCCCCCAAACTTGTTATTCATGGCTATTGCTTATTTTTATGTTACATGTTCAGGCGGGAACAAACGCACCAAATCAGGACACTGGTTATCTTTAACGACCCTAAACCAAAGAATTATTCATGTACAAGCGTATAAACTTCGATTTGCGGTGCTGCTGCCTGTAAGACAGTCACTATAATTTGAAATTTTCTAGTGCAAAGCCTGTGTAAATGAACCACTTGGTGGTCTCTGTCGCGGGTGGATAGGAGTGAATGATTTACACGTACCACTTCTCTCCGAATGACTGTAGGATCTAGCCAGATGAACACTCTGAAACCCTAACAGAGCGGTTTGTGCGTGTGCTTCGTGGATGTCTGGTGTGGTCATTCTTAGGCCCTGTTAGGTCAAACAACTGGAATGGTTCTCGCTGCGATGCTCGTGCTTGGCTATCATGAGCCCAAATTTCTCAGTTAGTGGGCTAACCTTCCACAATCACCCTGTATTTCCGTCCAGTTTTTTTTGGCGGAATACATCCTCCTCTGTTGTTGGGCATTGTCCGCAAACAAAAAGCGTTTTAAGCAAGGAGTGCATAATAGCGGTTTTATGCACATCGCAAACATTCTGGGTCCAAGAACAGTCTTTGGATCAGGTCGGTGGTAGATTCTGTCAGTTTGGAGAAGTTACCGTTGTGGCGCATTTTCCGCTTAAAGTATCGGATAAGACGCTTTACACACCTGTGCAATTATCCACTGGCTCCGGTCCGTTCGAGTATATGTAACGACTTAAGGTGATCTGCCCGGTCAAGGCAATTACCGAAGTCAATAAATACTATGCGAAGCGTCCGGCAACCACAGGCATTTTATGTCATCGTTTGCCAGCCATCAGCAAATGCTTAATACAGAACACCTCGCCCATAAACCATTTCCAACCGGTACAAAGACGCACCCACTCTCTAACTTTTCCTTCCAAAGCCTTAGGAACTGCCAGTTTATGTGAGTGGGCCAATGGACCTTGGAACCTCTGAAAATATGACCGTTTGCAAGTGTTCGGATTTCGTTAACACCCGCTTTTAGTGATTCCCCCTATATGTGTGCAAAACATGATGCAAAGATATGGAGCTGCGCCTCGAGAGCAAAGGAATGTGGCCCGTAGGGTCTAGGTGCCTTAAGGCCGTCAAGATTTTACGATAACCACTGTTTCTTTGTGGCATTTTACCTCACATAAATTCCCTTCTTGGATTTTTACAGACAGGCCAGTGATGTCCATTCTGGAGTAAGTTTCGTTGGCTGCGGTGCGGGCAGTTGTTGTGCAAGCAGTTTAGTCCCTTTGCACTCCCTGTCAGTGGCGTCAACTTCTGTGCTCATTATCCGCGAAGATTAGTGTTTTTTCCATGCATTCAATCATACATACATTCTTTTTGAACTATTTATCTCCACCATTGTGAGCGTTTCATCGTATCCGCATCCGTCATCAGGGGTCGTTCTAGTGCTAGATTGTCCGTAGTTGTCATAGATACACAAACCTTTGCTGTTTGAGTCACTTTCACGCGTTCAGAATTCATCTTATGCTTCCATGAGCTTGATTTGATTGAGCGAAAACTTCTTCGCTATTTTTGATAAGCACAGTTTGACTGTTCCTACTATTTTCTCGCGTAGACTCCCCCACATATCAAATAACACGCAATCCAAGGCACTTGCATTGCAACAGCCTTTATACAATGGTATTTGGCCCTCCACGTTTTGAAAATGGACCACTGGGCACGTGCTCCGATTTGGCACCAAGTCTAGTGGCTATGGTGTTACGCTTACTCCTTCCAAGATGTCCCGGATTTATCGCCAATGGGCGATACACGGTGTGCAACCAAGCTGGCTGCAAATTTCATCCAATCGAAAGAAAGCCATCATCAGCTTGATAGCTGCGAACTCCACGCGCTCATTTCTGTTCGGTGAACGTGATACCAGTTCCCTAATCCAAACAGGCTGGGTGGCTGGTAAATCCGCCTAGATTTAGACCACTTTGCTGAGGTACTAATCTGTTGAGTTTGGATTCTTTTGATTAGAAGAGTGGGCATCGTGAGACCCTTGAAAATCGCCAATCCACTAATTCGTGTGACGCTCACACCATATGGTCAACTTTTTCAGTGGACCATTCCTACACGTGGCTGTGGGGTTCTGCCATGAGTTATAAGTGCCACTCCAAACTGGTAACAATGGTATTTTTAGTGTGCGTGACCTGATCCGAGCAACCTTGAGACAAACAGACTTCCGTGGCAGCATCATCATCATCATCGACACATGACATCAGTGTTCAACACCGACCGATCACTGCCGTACAGCCATGACTTATTTGAAAGCCTTAGTGTAAAGAAAAGAATAAAGGTGGACGGGGAAGGGATTTAGAACGTTCATTGAAAAGTAGATAATCCTAGTAAAAAATTTTCTCTGGATAACTGACTTTGTGAGAACCAAGAGATAAGAAACCATCCTCTTCATTGGTTTCTTTAGTCCATTATTCACCTGCTTTAGGCCACCTGTACGTTTTGTTGAAGATATTTCCCGCAAGGAATTAACTACTTACCTGTGTTTGTTCGCTGTTCAAGAGAGACGTACAAAAGTATGCTCATCAGCATGGACAGCACTTGGTTTGGTTTTCGAAGTGTACCACGATGAACAGTTCACGTATGTTTTCAAGAGACAAGTGAGAAAGTAAAGGCTCAAAATCGATAGAGTTACTAGGTTTTGGCTGGCATAGCTGAAAACCATGTAAGCAAGGGGGCTCAAACATCCAAACTACGTTAACATAGTCCCCAAATATGTCGTATCGATCACTTCACTGCTTGCTTGTGTTCCATTGCTTTTCACGTCAAAATATCAGCGATGGATGTGCTAGCAGGATTACGTCTTTGCAGATTTCAGGAGACATGGTTGAATGTTCGGACATCTCTGAAATGCCACTCAAGACAGACGTGGTACCACATGTAGGGAGAAAGGTTGCCAACTTCATATCTTCAACGTCAGTCTTGTCGCAAGAAAGCAATTTTTCCGTTCATGGGTTCTCAGAGTAGTTTTGTTTTGGAAAAGTTACTTTCTCAGGGTCTAGATAGTTGTGAATAGCAGAAGGTGTGGCAGAGAAGGTTCCACCATAGCGGATTTCCGCTGATTCCGCTGTCACGGCATGAGTTTATTTGTGTATGTGCAATTCATGGTTGTACGTTGGCCGGGATACTGCCAGGGTGTCTAGGTGTGGGCGCCCTGGCTGTATCCCAGCCCACGTACAGCCATGAATTACACATACACAAATAAACTCATGCCGTGACAGCGGAATCAGCGGAAATCCGCTATGGTGGAACCTTCTCTGCCACACCTTCTGCTATTCACAACTATCTAGACCCTGAGAAAGTAACTTTTCCAAAACAAAACTACTCTGAGAACCCATGAACGGAAAAATTGCTTTCTTGCGACAAGACTGACGTTGAAGATATGAAGTTGGCAACCTTTCTCCCTACATGTGGTACCACGTCTGTCTTGAGTGGCATTTCCATACTCTATTATTCAGAGATGTCCGAACATTCAACCATGTCTCCTGAAATCTGCAAAGACGTAATCCTGCTAGCACATCCATCGCTGATATTTTGACGTGAAAAGCAATGGAACACAAGCAAGCAGTGAAGTGATCGATACGACATATTTGGGGACTATGTTAACGTAGTTTGGATGTTTGAGCCCCCTTGCTTACATGGTTTTCAGCTATGTCAGCCAAAACCTAGTAACTCTATCGATTTTGAGCCTTTACTTTCTCACTTGTCTCTTGAAACCATACGTGAACTGTTCATCGTGGTACACTTCGAAAACCAAACCAAGTGCTGTCCATGCTGATGAGCATACTTTTGTACGTCTCTCTTGAACAGCGAACAAACACAGGTAAGTAGTTAATTCCTTGCGGGAAATATCTTCAACAAAACGTACAGGTGGCCTAAAGCAGGTGAGCAATGGACTAAAGAAACCAATGAAGAGGATGGTTTCTTATCTCTTGGTTCTCACAAAGTCAGTTATCCAGAGAAAATTTTTTACTAGGATTATCTACTTTTCAATGAACGTTTGAAGTACTCTGGAGTACCGAACCAATCTCACTGGGTTATGATAGCATACAGGTCACACAAAAAATCAATTCTTAGGGAGAAACTAGAAAGTGTTTCGCATATCGGGACAGCACTGCGTGTAATCCACCGTGTTGTAATTATCTCCCGTCCTATGTTCACTAAAAATAAATTCATGGAAGCCCTCAAATTCACTTCCTCGTTTGCTGAAATAAATACATGGACAGTTTTTGTTTTTGACTGTAAGGCCGCCGGAGCTTTGGTACAGCACTATAACTTTATCAGGTCCTCGAAAAAGCCCAGTAAATCAGATCATATTAGAGGGCATTCCTATAATGGAGGAGCGAGTAGGCTAACGCTTGCACGTGACAGTCACACTGTTGAGGTGTTGCAGCAAGAGGGATCTTTAGATATATGCCGATTTCACATAACCTTTTGATTTCCTTGAAAACTGGAACTCAGGGAAGCTGCTGGTAGTCTACTAGCTTTCACACTTTTGAGGTGTTCATCCACATCAATTCTATGTGTGTTTATTTCAAAATCACAACAAAGCGGCATCAAGCGGTGGAAATGATCCATCACCAGCGGAGCCGAGCTGTAGAAATTTACCGCTTGAAGGAGGCAAACGAACTGAGTAAGCCTCGTCTTCAATCAACGGATTATTCTCAAATGGTATTACGGTGTTTAACCGTGGGATTTATGGAATCTTCCAAGGTGATCTTATTATGGGAGATTGCCTAAGAGAGCCTGACTTTCTATAGGAGTGCTCATCCAGAATGTCCACCATAAACAGATTACAAAAGACCAAGAGTAACAAAGACAGCGTTTTGCCCCAAACTTTGAGGGGGCCGTCTTATCATAAGTCGTACGATGTTACTGCATGTATCGTGCATCCTTCCAGTTGGGCGTTTACATGCGCAGCAGGATTATCCACTTTTAAGTGGGAACCATAAGTTTGTCAGGTCCTTAATCTCCGAATTTCTCCAATGCTTCGCGCCTCGCCAGATCTCAGGGAGACATGGGGTGGGCAAACTTCGGCATTAGTGATTGGGCTAAAAGCTAGTGAGTAAAATCGAAAAGCTCGTAATGTCTCATCACAGTGACCTATCTCTGGCTATACGTCGTTCATTCCAGAACACAAAGTAGGGAAAATTAGATCCATATTATGCTGTAGTGCACGATCTTACGGCTGTTCTTCCGCTGAATAATAACGATGAAATAATTGAATAAAATGTAGACTAAACGAATATCGCTTTCCCGAAAAAGAAATTATATATACGCAGTAGGAAAAGTATATGTATTTATTTTTCATAAATAAAGATGAAGATTACATACTAAGTTGAATTGAATAATAGACTAAACGAATATCGCTTTCCCGAAAAAGAAATTATATATACGCAGTAGGAAAAGTATATGTATTTATTTTTCATAAATAAAGATGAAGATTACATACTAAGTTGAACAACACAGCAGTAACCCTTCTAGAAGGCACATACGTTTCTAGGCTGAAACGCCCCTAGCCTCGGTAGGCGATTGTTTCAAGAGCGCTTTTGTGGTACGCAATGCTTATTACCTAATCTCTGGTTGTTAAAATTAAATTCAAATATGGTTAGCTGGAACACCTCATCAAAAAACTCAACGCAAAAACGACAGCACTCCATTATAAGAATTCATATTGACTAGCTGTGAACGGTTCCCCGCATTTTTCCTCATATGGCATTCACACACATTCTAGCAGACATTGTATGCGTGATTCCGTGTAAACGTGAGGTCGGCTCCCAAAAGCCCATTCAGAGTTATCAGGTGAATGTAGGGAGATCCGATACATGACATTGTTGGCAGGTTGTGGCTGCTACATATGGACGACACTTGAAATTAGTAGAGAAGGGAGTATTTACATGGAGTTAACAAACAAGATCAACAGTCGAATGTTGAAAATGACAAGATGCGAATTTTGGCGTGAGGCTATGTGGTGCATCTGTCTCTTCGAGTGTTTCAAAGTTTATGCCTGTGTGAAACACGAGGCTGACAAATTTCGAGCTATCGAGTGTAACTGGCCTCATTTTTCCCAATCCAGCGACACTGTGGTATTGTGTCTGAGTCAGGAGGTCATAAGCCATCTAGGTCAGTAACGGGTAGTATGGACTCCCAGGCTAGGTAACGATACGGTGATATG